AGGAAGGAAGGAAGGAAGGAAGGAAGGAAGGAAGGAAGGAAGGAAGGAGTGAGGAAGGGAAGGAGGGATGGATGAATGGCTACCATTTTGGTTGAGGCTAACTCTGAAAGTTAAAGGCTATGATTAATAGGAAACCTTTCCCTGAATGACTTTCTAGCAATCATACTAATAAAACATTATTATCCCACAAAGATACCAAAGCCTTTTCCTATGAGAACTTAAGTTCTTTATTAGTAACCTTATCTGTGGATCTTCACCAAAGGTACTTTCCAAAGTAGCTTTAAAAAGAAATCTAAGCTGAAGACTGATTTCTGAGTTTAAGTGGAAAACCTACTTGACTGAAAAATAAACAATTGAAAAAAATAATAAAAATAATAGCTGGATTGAAAAGATGGCTCGGCTGACCACCTGAGCTCAGTCCAGGTTGGGGTAGAGAACCAATTCCTACCTGATATCCCCTGACCACATGCACACACACACACACACAAATAAATGGAATTAAGTTTTTAAATAGAAATAAATAAGGAGAGATATATTCACTTTGTATTTTTATGTGACTTTACTCACTTTCCACCAACGAAAGAAGCAAATCATGTCTAGTTCCTGAAGTTTCTAGGGTTTCCTGATTCAAGGCACAAGCTCTCCTCCCTGTTCAGCCTCAGGTAGCTAGACTACACACAGCACTAGGCCTCATAATTTGAAAGAGGTTTTTGTTTAAGTTTTTTATCTTATGTGCAATGGAAATTGGGCCTCTAGGTGGGTGATGCCCAGGATATAGAAATGATGGTTGTACAGCCTGTCAATACACTAAAAGTCACCCCACTGTACACTTAGAAAGAGTGAGTTTTAGCCAGGCATGATGGTGAGTGCTTTAGAGGAAGAGGTCTGTGACAGACTGGAAAGGCAGAGATAAAAAGATGTCTGTGCACACTAAACCGCTTAGAAGAAAAAGTGGGGAACAGCCTAGAACTCATTGGCACAGGAGACAACTTCCTGAACAGAACACCAACAGCACAGGCTCTAAGAGCAACAATCAATAAATGGGACCTTATGAAACTGAAAAGCTTCTGTAAAGCAAAGGACACTGTCGTCAGAACAAAATGACAGCCTACAGATTGGGAAAGGATCTTCACCAATCCTATCTAGGACAGAGGACTAATATCCGGTATACACAAAGAACTAAAGAAGTTAAACAGCAAATATCAAGTAATCCAATTAAAAAATGGAGTACAGAGCTAAACAGAGAATTCTCAATAGAGGAATATCGAATGGCAAAGAAACACTTAA